GATTAGTTATGGTAGTTTATATAGCTAGTTTTTTCCTCCCCGTTAGGGCAGATTTTCAGAGACACATTTGAGCTTCAGTTTAATGGAATTTTCCTGCGTTTGTTTTACAATTTCATCTTCTCCAATGAAATTTAACATGTATTGCTGCTAGAAAAATGAGTTTGAACTCTTGGATGCTCTCTTTTTCGAAGTGTTGGTGTAATCTATGTAGTGACAATTAATTATGATAGAATATGTGTCTAACTAGATAAGACATTGCTGACCACATCCATTTTTTGTTGATCTTTGTCTTGGCTTAGACTGTTTTTTTTAGTTGGAGGGAAAAATGAAGGGCCCAAAAGGCATATCTTGATGTACTGAATTGTACCGTTTTTTATTTGGTTTCCCAGAAAGAATATAGCTTCATTGGAGGTATGTTTGATCAGAAGACTAAAAGTCAAGAGCAAAAGTTCAAGGAGATGTACCCTATCAGTCTTGATACTTTTAGTGTTGGAACTCAAGAAGATTCTAATTATCTCAATAAAGAGGAGAAAACTTGTCCAGGACCAATACTTGGTAGTAACTGCAGATCACGTTGGCATATGATCATGTGCCGTGTGCTGTGCCACACCATAGCAGAAGTTCAAAATTTGTCAACTTTTCTAGCTCTGACTTTGAGTTTATCGATAATTTGCTATGATTTCACCCAATAACAGCTACACTAAGGGGAGGGGAGGGGTAGGGGTAGCTCACCAAGGCTGTCCTTAGATTATCTGGAGTGGTTCAATGGTAACCCATCTACACTTAAGATTTTCTCATTGTGGGAGGTCTTGAATTCGAGTCGCCCTACCAACAAAAAAGGCTTCCTTTCACCTATTTATGGGGTTGAGAGTTTGACTTTGTTTTACTAGGTATCACTAGTACCAACTCTAAAAAATTTCCAGCCCTAATTGGGGTATGACCGGGGTATGACCAAACAAGTAGTGGCAAACGTTGTATACTAATTCGTAGTTCTAAGCCAGAGATCAGAGTTTTTTGTGGTGGGGCTGCAATGCGGTGGGCCGTCTAGTATAAAAAAATTACCCTCTAAAGTTTTATTCGGTGGACATTGCGTAGTTGACAAAAACAGGCAATGTCATAACTTTCTTCTTAATTCTATGCTCTTCTATCCCATGAATCCAAACAATCCTAACAATCTTTATTACAATACGTTTTTCGGTTGTTTATCGGCCTCAAATGGATCAAAATGTGCCGTACATACCGTGTCATAACCCACCGAAGATGTCTATTACAAATACACTGATGGCACTGGGTAAAATGATTTTGACGTTTGCGAATTGATACCAACAACCAGAATTTTTTCACAATCAATGTTGAACCATATTCAGATTTTGTGTTTGAAATGCAACCATAATCACAGAGCCAGTGGCCGACCTTGAACCCCCGCGTAGAAGGTGGAGGTCGCACAAGAAGAAGCCTAGGGCAGGGGGGTGGTGAAGTCTTGAAGGGGAACAATGCTAGGTGGACTAATGATGAGGAAGAAGTCCTTGCCCATGCATACATCGACACGTCCGAAGATCCGATCATTGGTACATTTTTTTCACTTATATTACATTTACTCTTTTTTTAATCTTATACTCTGTATTTTTTATTACTTCTATCATATAATTTTAAAAAATGATAACTATAAAGCGCAACCAAACTACTTCCAATTTTTGTATGCGGGTTCGGATTGCATTTTTCAAAAGGATGGGGAAGGGAGAATACAAGTCGAGGGACATGACATATGGAACGAAACCAACAACAAATGAAGGAGTGGGCAAAGTGATGAGGACATCAGGCACGATGCTTTGATATAGTATGCCACTGATCGTCTTGCGCCGTTCACTAGCATCGGTGCGTGTGAAATCATGCACCACTCCCCGAAGTAGCTTCAACTTTATGTTTTGAAACGATCCAAATTGGATTCCACCACTGAGAGCGCTTACAATGTCCGGACTCTTGCCCCGCCCCATTCCCTGCCATATCAATATTCCTGTCTTTTCTTGCACCAGGCCAAAACCCCTGAAATGCTATTGCCTCTCACCAAGCCTTTCTGTTTATTTGACATTATTCATCATTTTTAATTAAAACCTGATATAAATAAAAACAAAATACATATAATTATATAAAAATACTAACCATGACACTCTTTATAAAAAATATCAAAATAAAATTAATTTTAAATTTAAGACAAAAAAGAATACATTGAGACCTCCTTTGGTGTTGTTCATGGTCGATAAAGGAAGAATGGAGAGCAACTAAAACCCTAGCGTGTAAAGGAGAACGAAGAGAGATAAACCGCCTAGGTTAAAAAATATTAAATTTGAAGTGCGGCGTGGCGAGGCACATGCGTAGCGCATCCTCGCCTGCGCCGCAAGACTGCCTACATGCTTGACGACAGGCGTTTACAGTACCACATTGCGAATTCCTATATAGAATATAAAAACATGAAATTTTTATTTTGATACTTTTTCTATATATGTTTTACACGTATTTAGGATGATTTTTTTTACAAAAAAAAGTAGAAGGTATGATTAATTATGTTCTAAATCAGCAAATAGAATCTCAATTAAATAAGGAAGCTAAGTAAATGAAATTAAATTAGAAACAAATTTTAGCAAATTAAACTCAAATAGTGCAACCACGCGGCGGGGACAAGACAAAAAGATTCTCGTAGAGTGTTACAATACCCGGAGTTACAGGGGACCATATAATTCTTGTAAAGTTCGGAGTCGTTTTTCAACGATAGACATGAAGTCTTCATATTCATTCCTCCTAAAAACCAACCCGAATTCAAGCCCGCCTTCACCGTCACGCCGGCCCTCCTCAGCAAGAGACACGCACTTGGGGGAATGAACCATCTCAACCTTTTTGGGCCTCCCAAACCCAAAATCAGTCTCATAAACCCCGAATTTAGGCGACCCCGTAACCAGCAAAACTGCACTCCCTAAAACGAAGGCTTTCTGAGCTCTCTCATTCCACTTCTCCGCATCCCTCAGAGGCTCTCTCTTCATATCCTCCACTTCCTTCCAGATCCCCTTCACCCCCTTCACGAACCCTTCATCTCCTTTCACCTCTTTTCTCTTTAGCCACACAAAGCACCTGTTTATGCAGTTGCCAAAGTAGTTCTCCGGGACCGGATACTCCATTCTTTTCCTGCAATCTGCTGCAAAAAGAAAGCACTCCTCCTCTTCCTCACCATCATCGTCTATATGCCTTGTCGCTTCAACGTAGCTAGCCCACACGAAGCCGCACGCCGCAACAAACTTCGAAAGGTACATCGGGCATGTGGATTCTTCTTCGTCGTCTTTTCTCCATTGTTTCATTGCGGATTTTTGTAGTACTTCAATGTCTTCTCTACGCAACACAACCGTCGCCTTGTAACGGCATTCGTCATCTTCTCGGCGGAGGCGCTTAGAAGTTTTCCCGACGAGACTTTGCTTCCAAGATGACCTGTCCGTGAAATAGTCTCCCAGGAAAATGGCTTCGAGCCCCCTGGGATCTCGGATCAGTCCCCGATCGTACGATGGAAGAGGCATATAATTATCCTCAAAAGTCGTCATGTCTTCGGTCGACAATTGCCTACGACAAAAGGAAGCCCACGTCTTCATGAAATGGCTGCAGCAGCTGCCATCCATGATGTGGCAATACGTGATGGCGATACAGAGCCCGGCGTTAGGGAAGACGGTGACCTTCAAGGCCACGGTCGGGAACACGAGGGTGACATCGTCGTCGTTTCCATCCTCCTCCGTCGTCGTCCTCCATGGCAGCTCAGGAACCGAGACCTCTTCCAAGTCTTGCAGACTTTTCGGTCGGTTTGAGGAATAAATATTGAAATTTCCGGAGGCCGACTCGGCGACCGTCAGCGCAACAGAGTCGCCACCGGTACAGTGAATATAAGGCTTTTCAGGAGGCGGCGGGCAGAGGAGGTTTCCGGCGAGGGGGAAGAAACGCTGGAGAGCAATGGAGAGGGAGTTTTTGAGAGTGGGAAGAGTGGTGTGAAGGAAATGGTGTGTAGAGTGAGGAAAGTCGTAGAAGAACTGGCGTCTAACGTAGACAGGACCAGCAAGAGAGATATCAAGGAATGTAAGAGGGAGATGGGTTATGTCGGGTGGCATTGCAGGGCCAACCTTAGATTGCTCCAGTACCCGCTTATAAGAGGTTGTTGCTTCTTTCATTGGAGCCATATACGGGGGATGAATGAATCTAATGGATGACTAATAGGATCACATTGGTTGTATATATGCACACGACGACACACAGGTAGACCTTAGACCAATTCATAGAGGCTTTTACTACTCCGTATATACGAAGTATACTCCCCGACAATTTTATTTCTTCACTCCCAAAATTATTATATGGAGTTTTCATACTCCCTCTCATCTTCTCACTAACATCTATATTTATATATAATATATTTTATAGGAATTTTATATTTTAAAACTAAATTTCAATAGGAATATATTGATACTAAATTTATATCATAATATAATGTATTTTTTCCATAAATTGGAGTTAAAGTTTATAAACTTTGACCTAGGAAAATCAAATGAGAATAACATTTCTAGTTATTGGGAGTATAATTAAATTATATTTTCACTGCCCCATAAAACATTTTCTATTTGAAAAAAGGTGGGCTTTAAAAATATATAATTTTGGTGTTATTTCCTAGTTCCTAATTTACAATCCAACAAATCATATCGTGCCGTATCCTATTAAAAAGTTAAGGCAAAATAATAAAATAATACCAAAAATACACATTTTTAAAGCTTGCCTTTTTCAAACAAAAAATGTTTCATGAGACGGAAGGAGTACCTTCTATATTTAAATTTTTATTAAAGTTTTAGGAACTGAGGGAATATAAATTTTAAATTTTAATTTTGTAAAATTATTTAAATAAATTTAATACTACTAAGAGCATGTTTTTAGAGCTTAAATTCTTAACTTCCAATTTTTTTCAGTTTTTCGAGTTCCTTCCCGTTTTTTCTAGTCCTTTTACTTTCTTTCTGTTTTCTCAACTATTTCCTCTTCCTTCCAACTTTATTGATTCCCAAATAATGACTAAAAATAAAAAACAATCATGCGTTGTTACTAATAATAATAATAACAATAATTATATTATTATTACTATTACTACTATTATAATTACTATTACAACTATACTTTATAAGCTATTTGTATTTTGTATTTTATTTTTCCCATGTCATTGTTTTGTGATTTACACTCATTATTATTTTTTCTTCCATTTTCAATATAAACAATAAGGAATACAATTTTGTTGGGAAAATTGTTTTTTTTTTTCAATTTACATGACACTAAATTGTCTTCTAAAAATTACAGGTATTTTATTAATCTAATTTGGCTTAGGAAATAATAATAATAATAATAATAATAATAATAATAATAATAATA